ATAAAATATTTTTTAAAAATAGAAGAGTCACTGTCAAAATTTATTAAAAAAATTTTGTGAAAATTTTTAAAAAATAATTTTTGAAACTAAAGTAAGTTTGGAATCATTTACTTTATGAACATTTTATGACATCCGTTTAAATAATAATTACTTTAAAATAATTAAGAAAAATTATTTTAATTTTAAAAAATATTTATTTAACTTTTAAATAAAAAGTGTTGTTATTTTTATTTTAAAAAATTATTTATTAAAATATTAATTGATATCCTTAAGTATGAAAAAAATATTTTTAAACATTGTTTTAACTCGATAGTTCGATTCCAGCATTTACATATTTTTTGGTGCAGAAAACTTAAAGTCACATAATTCTAACTAAAATATTATAAAATTGGTTGATTAAATTAAAATTAGTAGAAAAAAGTTTATTTTAAGATTTGAAATTATTTTTATTAAATTATAGCATTTAGAATATAAGATAGCGCACATATCTTATGATAAGCAATATAAAAGGCAAAAGGAGATAATATAACTATATTGCAAATCGTAAAAAATATATTTGTATTTGTAAATAAAATATTTAAATTTAAAAATTAAAATAAAAAAAAATTTAAAATAGCATAAGTTATACATAAATTCCTTATAATGTATTGGACAACCAAAAGCAATGTAAATTACACATCGATGTTGTTATAAAAATTTATATAGTAAAATTAAGTAATCAAATGTTTGGTTATTTAATTTATAAAAGTTAAAATAAAAAATCATGAATTAAAAAGATCTAGTATAAAATTATTTGTATTCAATGAAGGGCGAATTAAGTTATATTTAAATTAACAATACATATAATCATTTAATTAGAAGAAATTGAGACATCATTGGATAAGTTTGTAATGCATGAGAATCAAGATAACGTTGATATATATATATAGAAATTTTAACAATTTAAAATGCATAAAGGTAGAGATGCTACATAATAACATTATAAATTAATATATTAAAGTAATTTTTAGTTTAATTCAATGAATCAATTAATAATTATTTGATAATTAAAGAAAAATATTTAAATAACCATATTTTGATCAATTAAAAATATTTTTTGATTAATTAAATTTAAAATGTATCAGATTTTATTGCGTAAGGTTTAGGTAATGTAATTACACGTAGACCTTATCAATTTTATAACACATTATGATAGAAAAGTTATACATTAATGCTATAAATTAATGCAAATATTATGTTATATTATTTATTTAATATTAAATTGAAAATATTATTTATTCATCATCAAATATTTAAAATTATACAATATAGTAAAAGATAATAATGCTAAATAACATAAATAAAAGATTAAGATGTAAACGATAAAATAACACAAAAAATTATATTAAAACTAAGTCAATTGTAATCATTCTTTATTATTATTTTAATTATTATTGCTTAGAAAAATCAATAAATGATATTAAGAAAATTAAATAATAAAAATATATAGTTAAATATTTTATTTGAGATAAATTAATATAAATAAATATGAGATAAATAAAAATAAAAACCCTATTTTCTAGGCCAAAAAATGAGAAAAATAAAAAAAATTGAACTAAAAAGTAATAATAATTTTTTTATAAATAATAATAATAAAATAAATAAATAAATAAAAATAATAATTCTAATAAAATAAATTCAACCGGCCAACTTCATTTAATATTCCTTACTTTTTCTAATCTTTGCTTAATATTTATTATTAAACCATTTAGATTAAGAAAAAAAAAAAATAGAAATATTTGATATGATTTGAATGACATTGAGGGCACAGGGCGCAGGGGACATTGCATGTGTGTAGGTGAGGTAACGCAGAGTATCAAGCCTTATGCTTCTTTTTTTTCCGATTAAATAAATAAAATAAAATGAACAAAAACTGTGTATAACTACATTTAGCTTCTCTTTTTACTTCACTTTTCATATCCATACTTAGCAAGAAAAATTTAAACCTTGCAACAACATGCAGATGTGAGTCTTATGCTTAAGGGATAAGAAAATATCTAGTCAGAGCAATGGAAAATAGCGAAGTAATAGAAATAATTTTTCTCTTCTTCCCCTTTCTTTTTACTTTCTATTTCTGATTTCTTCTTCTACTTTTTATCTATTTTCTTTTACTCTCTTCTTATCTCTTTTCTTTATTTTAGATTTTTCTTCAAAGAAATTTGTTGTCTCTTTTAAAAAATTTAGTTTTTCTTTTAATTTTTTTTTTCTAGAATTGGTTGTTGTCCCCTCTAAATAATTTCTGTCCTTTTTCTGAGTCTCTCACTTATGTATTTATATTAGTCCATTTAGAGTTTTATATGAGGACAAGTTTTTACATTTTTCCTTTTTATGCTTAAAAATTACTTTAAGTGTTAAGTATAAACTTGCACAATGTAAGATTTCTTTTTTTGGAGTCAGGTTAAATTTTTAAGTTTTTTTTTTCTATTTTGCTGTTAAAATAATCTTATTTTTTTTTTTTATCTTTTATAATATACATATTTTTTAAAAAATTTGAGAGCAAAAAAATAGTATTCATATCTTTTTATTGAGATGTCTTAAATTTGAATACGATCACGTTTAAGTAAAATGTAGTATCTTATATTCAAAAATTATAGTAAATAAAAGTTTTTCAATTTGTCTATGAATATAGGTCACATTTCTGAATAATGTTAATTTTGTGTGTTCTTTCTATCATTTTTTTTTTGTCCTAACAAGTGATATCAAGGCTAAAGGTTTGTTTGGATAATTGTCTCAATATGAGTATTAGAAATTGGTAATAGATATACGTAAGATCATTATATTGAAAGTCTTTTTAACATTGTAAATGTTGCGCAACATGTTTAATATATTGATGAAAGCTAACGACGAAGTTAAGTTGAAAATAGCATTGACATTGGTGGCTCATTAACGAGAACTAATAATGATAATGGTGAGTGCAATATTAGAAAATTAGATAGAGAGTGTGTGTATTGCACTGTTATAATAGTTATTACCTTCAAAGCAAAATTTTGATGAATCTTTGGTGCAACCCTATATTCGATTTTGCCCTAGAGTCAACACAACATGTGTTTGAATTTGTGCACTAAAAATCAAAATTAAATGGATTTTCACAAAAAAAAAATATAAATAATTAAGAATTGAGAATATAATTAAAATAGAAATGTAGAGAGTGAAAAGAAATAAAGTAATGGTAGAAAGTTATTTTCTCTAAATCTTTCATGTGTTAGTACCAAAATTATAGGAGAGAAATGTTTCTCCTTCCCACCAAATGAGACATTGAACATAAGTTAGTTAAGAAATTAATCATTATCATTTTTATCTATTTTTTGTTATCAATTTATTACTCTTAACATAAACACAACACACACAAACCTGTCATTTAGTGTTCTCTCGTTTATTTCTCTTCAATCTTCATATCTTAATTCTGTCTTTAGTCATTTAGTATCGTATATTATTCATTTGTGACCTTAGTGTTTATGTCATCGCTTAGTCTCTCTTTTGTTATGATTTTACCTCCTTGCTATTTTACTTCCTTAACCTAACAAAGTTTATTGACCAATCATGTTTTATGGATCTAGCCTATACTAGTGATGTATTTGATAATTCACTTAATATTTCACTATTAAATTTAACTACTGTTTGTAAAATGGTGAGTTTAATGAAATTCATGATAATCTGTCCTTTTTTTTTAATGATTATTTGCTCCAAGCTAAAGTGGTCATAAAGTTCAAAATTATATTTGTAATCAGTTAAAACTAGTTTGATGGTTAAAATAAGATAATATAAATTTTTTTCATATCTTATTTTTGACATTTGTTGATATGATAATAATTATATTCTATTATTGTAGTTAAATTCTTATTTTGAAAAGAATGATGAGTTAAGAAACGTTACGATAGAATAACATTTTTTTAATTATTATATCTTACTCATAATTTATAACTTTTTAAACCCTTTATAAAAAATTAATATTTAAAAAATATAATTATAATATTATTTTATATAAATTATAGGCATATTTTTTTAATGAAAAATGAACATGATATATTTTTAAAGAAAATTGTATTCAAAAAAATATTTGTAAATTTTTTAATCATTTTATAAAATATAATTTTAATTATTTTTATTTTAATTGTAAAAAATTGAATAACATTATTATAATTTAATATCAAATTTTAATATTATATATATTTTAGTATTTTTTTGAATTTTTAATATATAATATATATTAATTTTGATAAGTAAAAAGTTTAAATAACAAATTATTTTAAAAAAATATATTAATTTTGATAAAAGTGTAATTTTATTATTTAAATATAATTTATATTTTGTTATATTATTTATTTTAAATATTAAAATAATAATACAATGTATCTATTTTATTATCTTAATGCACGTTAATCATATGATAGGATAAGAGTTTATTTATCTATTATCATATCATAGGCTTATCTTTCTATTTTATTATTTTATTCTATCGTGTTTATTTATGAAACTCAGCTTTCGTATTGAAATAATTGGGAGAAGAATGAACATTCCCATGTGCCATTTCCTTATTAGCCAAGCCGAGATGGACATTCTGATGAAAGATGTCATTTGATTGAATATAAAGAAAAAGATAATAAAGAAAAGGAAAAATGTTGAAACGAATAAAATGCAGAAACGAAAATCTCTAGCGTAGATAAAAGAAGAGTTGAAAATGGGTTACCTTATACATTAAGATTGTAGACACGTATTACTATAAACCATATAGAGATAAATGTCTATACATAGATCGAGACATGAAAGTCAATACAAGCGTATTATTGCTGAGATTATGAAATCTACTAAGCACACGAAAACCATACAACGATAAAGAAAAGAACATATAACGTCGATTAACACTAAATTGGTTTATTTAGGGTAGTGGCTAACTGAGGCTAGTGCAACCCAATATCATGACACTCTCTTCAATTATTGTTTATAATATATATTTCCATTATTCAACCAAAGAGATGATGGTGCTTCTTTTCATGAGTCTCCTCATATTCTTTCTTTGCTTCTTTCTTCTCATGATGCTCATGGAAAGCAAATCCACCAGCTCCAACTGCGGCTGCAGCTGCAACCTCCTCTTCTATCTTGTGCCTATGGGCATGCTCTGGATCTTTACCTGCCTTGTGTTTCTCATGCTATTGGTGTAAAAGATTAAACAAATTACTAATTACCATCTTATTTAACATTTGTTACTCTTAAAATATAAACGGCAAATAATTCACAATTTTTTTTTAATAAAATATAATCAATTTGGAGATTTAAATAAACAACATCATACTCATAGAAAGAGTAGTGATATCAAAATTCTCATCAAATTATATACTTTTCTCGACATGGATCTCCTGCAGTCATCTTTCTATACAGTCATTAATTTCTACCCTTCATTTTTTTTCTTTATGATTTAACAAAGTTAATTAAATATAAAAAAAATGACTCATTGAATAATGAATGAGAAAAAATGACTGCAGAGTATGCAACAGCTTAGTATGAACTTTATGCAATCTAAGAGTACATCTGGTATTTGAACTATATGCCAAGAAATTGTAAGAGGGCCAAATTAAATGAGTTTACTTTTAATACATTGTTAAGGTAAAAAAATTTCATACAATCAATATTTAAATTAGAAATTTTAAAGTAATTATCATAAAAGGTGAAGGATTTTTCATATGAATTATGATATGTATAACTTACCAAGGCATAAGCACCAGCAGCAACTGCTCCCATTTCACCAAGGTGCTCCAGATGGTTGTGGTGCTTCTCTTCCTTTCTGTAGTCAACCTCATTTCCGGCAGCATCAAATGTGGTCTGGGAGTAGACGACGGTGTCAACAGGCTGATCTTCATCCCTGTTATGGTGAAAGAGGTGGTGGTGGTGCTTCTCTTCAGCCATGGTGATGGAATGCAAAGTGATCTTAAGGGTGGAGAGAAAATGTGGAGTTTTGTGTTGGGAGTAATGCTATTTATAGGTGATAGAGAGTGCGTTGTTGTTTGCTGTAAGAGGAAATTTTTTCTCATATACAAATTCTCAAGAATATTCAATGCCCAAAATGAAGAATAGACAAGGGGAGAAAAAATATTAGGGGTTTCTTTGTTTTCTATTTCTAAAACTAAAAATATTCAATGCGTGGTGAGTTTTTAAAAATAATTTTTGAAAATAATTTTTTATTTTCAATTTTTAAAACTAAAAAATAACTTTAAGCTGTTTTAATTTTTTTTCTCATTTTACAAACAGTTTTGAAAACTAAACTAATAAGCAAGTTTTATTTTAATTTATTTTTCTTAAAATCTCTTTTTTAAGATTATTTTAAAATAAAATTTTAAAAAATTAAAAAATTAAAAACTAAAATAAAAACAAACAAGTCCTAGAATTCTTTGACGTTTTTTTTTAAATAAAGAGAATTAAACTAACGTTCATAAAGTGGAATAATAATCAAACTAAAATATCATTTCAGGTAATCAAATATTATAAAATTTTAAAATAACAGTTTTCATTATTTTTAACTAGGATATTAAGTTTTTTTTTTTTTTTTATAACTGGATGAATCCAACTTAATCAATTACATATAAAATATTTAAACATATTATACCGTTTATAATCAAATTGTAATAATTTAATTTACATCCTAAAAATGAAAAAAATTAATCCAACTCAATTCTTTATATTTTGTTCAATTCAATTTTCTTTTATCAAACTTGACTCGAGTCGTGACCGCATGCACCCATACACAATATGACTCTCCAAGAAAGATAATGATAAAATATCACATCTGAAAACGCGATGGGTCTTCGTTTTTGTGCACTGAAAGCGTTACGCGTTTCTAAATTTATTTACTAATTTGTTTCTTAATATACAATTATTTGTAAAGAGTAAACGTATGCGAGACTTAACGAATTATAATTTATACGATAAATTTAATTTTAATATATTATTAATATAATTTTCTTAATAAAAGTCAACTATCTCAATTATATAAAAATATACATTGTTAAAATAATTTTTTATATTATCAATTTTTATAAACTTTACAATAAAGGTTAATCATTATCAATTATATGAAAATTTATAATTAAATGACAGCATAAAAATATTTTTATAATTAATATATTTTGATTAAATTTTATATATTGCACTTCGATTTCTTAGAATTTGAAAAGATATGGAATTTTTGTAAAAAATGATTTCTTATATCGTAAGATGACATGTGGCGAGAATACAAGTTAGGAATGTAGTTTGGGAGTCAATTTAGGAAACATTCATGAAAAAGAATCATTTTGTAATTTTATAAAATAGTATAACAAATTATTTAATTTGAATGTTGAGGTGTCATCAGATGTTGAATTCAACAAATTTCAAGCACAATATCTAGTCTTCAGTGTAAAAAAGATGTGAGACAAAATATCCTTATAACATTTTCTCTTTTAGTTGGCTTTTAAAAATGAGTAATACCTAACTTTTTAATAATTAATTTTGATTTAAACTTTCAATAAAGTATAATCCTTTTTTTTCCTTTGAGGCTATCGCATAAGCACAATAAATTTCCAATTATTTTTTTCTGTAACAACTGAATTATTTGTATTACAGCTAAAACTTTGGGTTTTATGTTAGTACGTTAAACCCGGTTGCCCCTTCCCAAGGTAACCCACATTTTTGTGATACAACTACTAATTATAGGAACATTCACAAGATAATAGCGTCTAGCGTATAGCACTAAGACTCTGATCAGAACAAGAAAAAAAGTTTCACGCACTGAAACGGTTTCTACGTGTAAGCATGTTCTTAGCCATAACTTAAGTAAGACAAAGTTGAGATGATTCAAATCACCGCAAAAAGTGAAGATGCTTCCCCTTTCTACGTAGTTCTGAAAGCTATAAAGATGCTTTATAGAAATTATATTATTTTATCAATCAAAACTATAGTTATTGTTAATCATACGTTATAGTTTAATCGAAGGAAAAAAAAAAAAAAAGGTTTTATCTGGTCAGTTTTTACCAGGGGAAGGACTAAATTGGTGTTTTCATATCTAAGCAGATATTAGTGTAAAATAGTTTGATAATTTGAAGATTTGACTTAGAAACTTTATTCTCAAAATGAAGGGAGAATCATATCCATGTGATTTTATATGTCTATTGCCAACATAGAAGGGCAAATTATGAGATAATCTCCCTTAATTGACCATATCAAAAAAGAAAATAGATGTAGTCTAAAATAGAAAAATTGACCTCTCAAAAGTAATAAAATGTCACAAAAGCCTTTTCTTGATGATTATAATTGATTAGTTTAATGCACTTTTCTCTGTTGAAAAAAGAAAAAAGGAGCTGCGGAGATTTAAAGCAGCGTCTCTCGTTCGTGAGTCATTATAAAAATAATCGTTTAATTTTGTTTAGAAAGTCAACTAAATTTGAAAATAATTTAAAGTTTGAAGTCATGATTATACTTAATTGAAATTATAGATTTATTTAATTTTATATAAATTGATTTAATTCTAAATTTAATTTTGTATTTGAAATTTATTAAAAATTAAGAATTATTTTAAAAATAATTTTTATAGGCTTAATTCTTCTTTTAGTCCTCCAATTAAATTGATTAAGCAATTTTACATTTTTTTGTTAAGGTGTTTATAATAAAAGTTAGTGATTATTAAGTTATTTAAATTTTTTTTTATTTTAGTAAAATTACAAGTAGATTAGGTGATGTGCTATAAAATTAGGGTTACCAAATTGGAATTGTTTTGTTTCAAATATGAATCTAAGAAGATTAGGATATAAATGATTTTGTTGAACTGATTAAGAGTATTGTTGAGAGATTACACATAATGGGACTAACATTTTCAATGGAGTAAAATGGTGTTTTATTTGGAGAGTACATATGAGACAAAAGTAGAATTTCAATTTAGCAGTTTATGCACACAAAAGAAAGTATTATAGAAAATCCTTTGTGGGGAAGGGTGAAAAAAGTATTGATAGTTACGTGTCAAGGTATGTTATTTTTCACCTGTTTCACATGCAATGGGAGAAGTCATGTATTTTGAGATTCTAATATATGTGGTCCTAACTCAAATAGTTTAGCAGTTTTTAATTTTGGTTAATTTTGGTGGTGCTAGTGTTTGATGTTGAGTTTAGAATGTATTTTTTTGTATGATTTTGCTTTTATAATACATTTTTTAATCCTATTTTGTAGGCTAAGTCAATGTCTAGTGATTATACTAAAGATATACTATGGTAGGTTGCTTATGGAACATCTCCTTTTGTTGTATGTAGATGGAAAAGCGAAATAAACTATTTAGGGATGAGACTTAGATGAAATTTCACATTGGGTATCCTGTTCAAGTGCTTATGGTACAAGAATCCAAAATCCGACCTTATATCACGACTCCTTTTTTATAAAGGACTGAGAATATTATTTCTACAATATTTACTTATTTAAGATAGATAAATAATAGAGAATATAAGTATAAAATTCACTTTTGATTCAAAATAAACAAAGTTTATTACGACAAATATCTAACATAATATTACATTTAGTTCATAATACTCAAAATACACAAAAATTATACTATATAACTTCCTCTATATGAGATCTAAAAATATAAGTGATGAACGAAATATTTTCTCATTTGCAAAAAGATTTGTCGTCAACCTTCATCAAAATATGCAGAAAAATTTATGTAGTCTAGGATGCAAGCCTAGGTCGTCTCCCATGAATCATTGGACGAGTGACCAAATATCAAACATGTAGTGTGCAATGTATTTAGAAAGCAAGTAAAAAAAAAAAAAAAAAAGGGGGTTTTGTGATTATCAACTTAAGCAGAAAATTAAATTGTAAAGTTCAATCGATAAAATGTAGTAACCCCTAGTTCATTCATATAAACTCTATCCCTATTCCTCTCAAGATTTAATACTCTTCCTCTCCTCCCAGAATTAAGTTGATTTCACAAGCGAAAATCAACCTTATGTTTTCATATGAATTAAGCAATCCAATGAACTCCAATCTCTTATTCCTTGATTACGCAATCTTGGAATTAAACAAGAATTAAGCAATTCAAATTTAGAATTTTCTTAAAACGAATTAGGGTTCATTACGCAATGCTCCCCTCATTCAACCATTAATTCGATTCAAGAGTTTGGGAGGAAGAAATTCATGGAAGAAAAAGATTTGCATTAACATTCAAAAACCAAGAATTCAAGAATCCATATGAACTCACTAGAGATTACAAGAAAATTAACCCTCCATGAGGATGGGTCTCACAAGTACAAAATGAAAGTAAAGAGAAATTAATAACATCAATGCAAAAATCAAAGAGAAGTAAGGATAAAATGTTAATCAAACCCTAGGTTGGACCCTTGGCTGTCACCCAAGGCCACCCTAGGCTCTCCAAGAGTATCCTAAAATTTGTGGTATATCTGAGAGAAAAAGTTCTGCAAAAGTCCCCCTACCCTAAATGGTAAAAATCTATATATAGAAAAGTTGACGCCTTCAGAGTAATTACTCTCGTTCACGACAGTGAACACTCTCGATCATAGTAATTACTATCGTTTACAAGAGTAAACACACGCGAGCATAGTGATTACTATCGTTCACAAGAGTAAACACGCGCAGGGTCTTGAACTCTGGGGCTCTCTGGAGTGTTTACTATCGTTTCTGAGAGTAAACACGCGCAGGTCTGGGTGCTTCCTTTGGTTCTGGAGTGATCACTATTGCTTCTGAAAGTAGTTACTCTGGCCTGTCCTCTGGATCTAGCTTGTTGTAGTGTCCACTTTCACTTCTGAAAGTGATCACTTTCAACTCAAAATTTCTCAAAGGCTAAAAATCCATGGAAAAAGTCTAGAAATTCCTGCACAATTATTCAAATGATCAAAATTGCAAACTATATCTATGTAAATTAATGTAAATTAACCAAAAATTAAGAAACCTATGATAGTTGGTCAAAA